TAACCTTAACTCTGCTAGCAAGCATATGCGTTAAAAGATTAATACAGAGTCTTTCTTCTTTAGACTCAGTATGACCCATCTTGTCAATCTTCTAACTGTACTAACTACCCGATTACCCTACGTATCCTCTATAGGGGGGGTCTGCAGCACCCTACGGTGCAGTCTTATCCGTCCCAAGTTCGGGGAGACTTACCTAGGAGTCCCTGTTCAGGCGCCAGATGTTTGGGTCCAACAGCAGCAGGTCCAGGGGTGCCCAAAGGTGTGGACAGAGTCGGCGAAGAAGGAATGACACGGAGACAGCCTTCAGTTGATCAGCAGCCTAGCCAGGACCTCTAGCCAGGATCTCCAGCCAAAGTTCTGGTTAGGAACTGATGTTTATTGTCTTGTTACATCTGTATTTATACCAGTCGGTTTTAATCCTGTCAATTTCTATTGCAAAGGTTAGGGCGTTTCTTATCTCCATTCCAGGGAGTAAAGATTATGTAGCTTAAGCGTGATTGTTTGTAGTTAAAGTGATTAACTACCCGCCTGGCACTTAGTTAAGGGGTTGTATCCCCTCCCTAACCTCAGGGAAAAATCCCCACCTGGGGAAACAACCTTTCTCGGAGAGGTGACCTTGGTTAAAACACATGGCGCTAAGGAGAGCAAACATATTAAGAACAATATGCTATATATGCCAGGTCCCTTGAAACATATGCTGTGCAGATGTTTCTTTCCTGCAGCGACTGTGTCAAGCAGCAAGGATGGACCGGCTTCCAGCAATGGACCAATCTTGCTTTCTCCTTTCCTTCTCTTCACCTGGCCAACTCCATCTTTTCTTTTTTAACTTGTTGGCCAACTTCATCTTAACCTTCCAATCCAGCCCTGACGTCACGCCCTCCTCGAATGTCCCCGACTTCCCCTGCCTCCTTCCAAAGTTATTTCCTTACCTCCAGGAGTAATTGTAAGAACTAAATATAGGTAAGTTAATAGAAGTAAGGTGCTTGGTACAGTGCTTGTTACATAGTAAGTACTTTCACACACATACACACACACATCTACTTGCTGTTATTATATTCTTAATAGCCATATGAGAGATGATCATAGCTTACACTAAGGAAATGGATAGGTTTTAAATATTTACTGTGTGAAAGGTGAGAAAAAATGGGGGGATCAAGAATGACTACTATGTTTTGACTCTGAGCAGACAGCTGACTGATAATGGATAAGAGACGTGGAGGGAGACAGTTCTCCTGCCCTCCGATGTGAGCCTGAACATTCCCCAAGGCTTGCTTTCCAAACGCTCTCCTTGGTTATTGAAGCTTCGAGAAGCTGGGAAGTTTTTCAACTGTTCTAAGCTTTATTTCTTTATCTGTGAAAAGGACATAACAATAAAGTATACATGTGCACTTAATTTATGTGCATTTAACTCCATGATCTCAGCAAAAGAGGGAGAATAAGAGTAAGCAAGAGCAGAAGAGAAAAAATAATTTGAATTATATAGCCATAATTTAAACTATTCGACTCAATGAGCATAGCTCTAAAAGGAATTTAATAAGGAATACAAGAATCTGCTACTGACTCAGTTGATTGGGTTCCCACACATCTCCTACACTGTTTAATTTTAAAGGTAAATGTACTTTTTTTTCATACGGTATGGCCCTAAATGAAATCCAGTACAACTGGGACCAGTCATTGGAAAATTGATCAAAATGCCATTAAAAAAAATAAGTTATTTTTTAAATGAAGCATATATATTTTTTATTT